TGTTGTAACAAACATAAGGCAGAATTTGAGTCGATGGCAGTGTTTGGTCAGGTGGCTGCTGCAATATTTGCATCAGAGACTGAGGACAACAAATGATGTCTGGGCTGGTTCATTACACTGGGTACAGAAGGACTGACTCTATAGCGGTGTGCAGTTGTTCTGGTCATCCTTGGAGGATGGTCCAATAATGGTTGTTTTAACAGCTGCAAGCGACTTATTTCCTCACTGTGTAGATATTCTTCAGCAGTCACCATGCCAGCCCTGCATGTGATGTAACACATGCTGCATGATGAATACTGAAACCACATTTGGAAGCTGTGCCTACTTGAAGAGCTTTAAGCTATTCATCCTTGCTGTAGAAGTAAGTTTTTTTGTTCTTAGAGTCCACAAACCTGGGGCTCTGGCTGTGGCCATTGAAGAAACATAGTTCCTTACTACTACAGAACTATAACAGTTTTTAACCTTTTGAAATGTAGATGATATTGTGACTTTTACTCAAAAATCTGTTACTGGATTGTCCCGTCTTGGATTATTCTCTGGCACCCAAAAGGCAGGGCTTTTTATGGGACTGCATTTTCTGGATCAGGGGACATCTCTTATGGGTAATTGGATATCACTTAATAAGAATCATGGCAAATGCAATATTGTAACACCCTCTGCTCCATCCTTCTGACCTTACTTACATCATGCATATTTATTCTTTCTTCTGATACAAATATTAACCTCCTGTCTTGCATTAGATTCATATATTCATCCACTACCTGGGAAAACAGAGAGAGAGGAAAAAGACTGATGCAGGAGAGAGGGGCTTTTAGTATTCTGTAGCTGAGCTGTCTGATGTAATATGTTAGAGAATATAGGTGCCAGTAATGTGCAAAGAGCTTGAAAAATGACCAGACAATGCCAAGCCCACAGTGCCTGTTGTCAGGAGGGCTAACAGTGTAATAAATCAACCTGTCTTGTGTCAAGGGTCATGAAGTGCAATGTTCAAAGCTGTTTGGCTAGCCTGATCCAGACAGGCATATGCTATTCATTTCTGAGCTGTTGGTGCTATTACTAGAGCCTTCCTAAAGCAGTGTCTGCCCTATGCTGCTCTGGGCTTTAAGTCAAGGTTCCAAAGGAGAAAGTATCTGGGAGAAGAGAATGAGTGCTGTTTAGTTTCAGGTCTTATGCTTCTCCTGTAGTAATTTTTACTAGACACTGCTGAGAAGAGTACAGAAAATGGCTTGTCAGATGAGTTCTTCCCTTGCCTTTTGTGTAGGACAGTGGTGCTTAACCTGTTCCTGTTGGATGAGCCATACAGGCCCACAGTGGCAGATGGTAACAGTCACTGTCTTTCTCTGTTCACTTGAGCACACACTTACAGAAAATGAACAGAACATGTCCCACTTTGAGTGAGTGGATATCAAGCAAAATACAACTAAATGATCCACTACAATCCCATCTACTGCACCTTTTGGTGACTGTGTTTCTTTGTTGTAGATCTCATTCCTGCTGTGCTTTTCACCTTCATTCTGTCATGTTTAGGTGGGCTGGAGGGAGGACAATCTGCTTCTAGCCCTGCTGAGATAGGAGGACCATCTTTCCATCTGTCATCTCCTACCCCAGTGTTTGTAGGGCTGGATAGGTACAGGCAAGCTGCAGTAGGCATTTCAGGCCAGTCTGAAACTTCCTATATTCAGTAGTTTTAATTAGGCTCACTAGATGGGAATATGCAGGGAGAAAGGTTAAGGCAGCAAATCAGGCTAATTACAGGCTGGAAGTCCCAGGAGTTCAGGTCAAGTGATCTTCCATGGCCCTAATCTCTGAGAAAGAAGCTGTTAATGCTGTGCTGTCTCTGCCAGTGCTGCAGGGCTGCTGGTTTTCAGGCCAGACACGTGGTGACTTCCCAAAGGACCATTCTGCCCTGGGTACCCACAAGGCAGGTCAAGTTACAAACCTGGGTAAGCTGGGTCACAAATTAGTATTTCCCCTTAGTGCTTTTGTGTGGTGATGGCAGTAGGTCCTTGGTCTCTGCTAGAGCACTCACAGATCCACAATCTATTAATCCATCCATCAGGGGCTCATCAGACTCCTACACTGCACCCAACCTTTCTCTCATGTACAGCTGGGGTCCTGAAACATCCACCTGTCAGAAGCAAATTGATGTGAATATGAATGACGTGCAGCAAAAAAGGCTGGCACACGTTTCATATAGCAAGTAATTTTGCAACCTGAAACAAATTTCAGCAGGAAAGGTTTGACTAGGAATTTAATTAATTTGCTTCTAGAATTTTTCTCAAAGATTTGTAAACTCTGATGTTTGAAAGTTAATTTTATTCAGAGGAACAGCTATGGTTATAATGTAAGTCTTAATTGTACATGGGGTTTTTAATAATTTCACACATCCTATGAGGACTTTATTTCCACTGAGCATTCGAACAGTTCCTGTTTTTGAGAAAATTACTATGCCCATCTAGCCCCCCAAACTCACTGGTTATGTTCTTCTCAGATTAGGGAAAGTGTCACTGATTTCTGTTTTTCTTGACATACCCAAATCCTGGGAAGGACTTTTACAAATCAAGATCAAAAGTTGTTAAAGTATTGGACTGGAAGTAGTGCTGGTATCTCATACTCAGGGCACTCTGCAACGAAGTCAGTCCTTTTCCACATCTGCAGAGACCATAATAATGCCTGATGCCTTTGTAAATGGCTTTGAGAAACTATAAGAAGTCATTTGTATAAATAAGCAAGTCAAGTCCTTATTGGCAGAGCCTAACTGGAGTATCAAGATGCAAGACAAAAGACAAAAAGCAGATTTGATCACTTCATGCCCATAAGTACATATCTAGAATTATTAATTTTTCAAACTCTGATTCCAAAGATACTGTCAATGTTAAATGCTTGTGAAAAAATCTGTGTATTTCAATAGGAAACTTTGCAATGACAAAGCATTAGAACTGGCAATATTTCTGTCTCTGAAGTGTTTTAGGCAATGCAATAATAAAAATACAACATCAGAGTGTAAAACTAGACCAAGGCAACAAATAGTGAAGACAGAGGGCAGAAGGGACCATTTAATGTAAAAGAAAAATATATTCTTCTACTGTAGCAGTTAATTCAGTGCTCCTAATAGCAGTGTTGAACTGTGTTATCATGCTAGACTTAGTGAGCAAGAGTGCCGTCGCACAGTCTGAAACAGAAAGATATGAATTAGAAGGGGTTGAGAAAATAAAAGGAAAGGAAATGTCCAAAGAGTGACAGACTGTTTCTTCCAGTGAGCTAATCAAGAAGATATTTTGCAGGTTTTTTTTTCCTTCCAGTGCTTACTACAGAAAGGACCTTAAAAATCATACAGTTCCTGCCATGGTAGGGGCACCTTTCACTAGACCAGGTTGCTCGAAGTCCCATCAAATCTCCTTGGGTGGGACATCCACAGCTTCTCTGAACAACCAATCCTAATGCCTCACCACCCTTGGTATGAAAAGCGAGGGCGTCAATATTTGATATGTGTATGTTTGGCACCAGAGCTGTCTTGCAAGTCCCAAGGATCCATGACCAATTTATTGCCCCCTCTGGCATGTTAGAAAATGCTTACAGTTCTGTGCACAAAGTGGGTAACTGATGGTTTGGAATCAAAATAGCCATTGAAATCCACGAATACTAAAAATCAGACTGTTTTGGAAGATGGCATAATGTTGGGTATCAGACATGTGCTTTGCTGCTGCAGCACAACAGCTAGCAACAACAAAGGTGTGCAAGTTTCCACTTGAATAATTCTGCTTGTGCAGCTGTGTTGCAGGATTAACCCCATGTATCCTGATACTAATGGATTTACTCCCATCATGTAGTAAGAGTAAGATTTGTATATAGGGAAAATATATCTACTACAGCCAATTTGCACTCGATGGGTAAGAAATTATCTCCAATAAAAAGGATTCTGCCTGTTGATTCATCTCCTATCAGGCTGCTGTTAATTTCATAGAATCAAATTGATTTTTGTTTATTTCTATACACATGTATGAAAAAAAACCTTAAAATCCAGTAAATGCTTGCTGTATCATTAATTTAGATTTGAACTTTTTTTTTTTTTTTTTTTTTTTTTTTTTTTTTTTTTTTAACAAAAGAAAGTGCACACTTAACCTGGTACAAAATGATATATAAATGTTGCAGGGGAAGAGAACTTTTAATTTCCAGAACATTCTGGACTATTACTAAGGCTAGAATAATAATCCAGTATTTAGAATAGACCCAATATGGCTATAAGGTTTGTGGATTTTTTTTAACTTAAATTGTTGTAAAGTAGATAATTTAATGTGCAATAACTGCAATAATTAATGTTCTTATTAATTTTGTGATTGTTTTATTTAAATATTGATTGCAATTTGTTTTAGTTTGCTTTTCATGTCCCTTATCCTTTCAAGATTAGGAGCTGAGTAATGAGAATAACTGGGGATCAGTGCAGACTGCTGGTGTTAATGCACCCTGTTATAACATTGGCAATGTTTTTCCAGCTTGTAAGAACCGGTTGATCCAGTTGACTGTGGCTAATGCATAGCAGAACTATGTATTTGGTGGCCATCAGCAGGGGTGTGAGTGTGGCATGCATGTAAAGATAAAGTATTTTTCTATGCCTCAGCAATATTTGCTTTACCAAATAATTGTGATATGTTTATCCAAGCAGCCTGTTGCTGTGCTTTGTGTGGCACACCCTAAATGCCAATTATTTACATAATTTAATATGATATATGGATATCCTTGTTACTGAGCCATTTACAATAAAGTGATCACCTACATGCTTTCTACCCAACTTACGGAAGAAGCAGGATGGGGCTTATTGGATTTTCCTGCCCTTCTGTCCCACAGGGAGAGCACCTCAGCTGCCTACAGGGAGCCGAGGCAGCCTGAGGGTGGAAGGGCCATCTGTACATCCCTGTGTGAAGGGCGTGCACTGCCTGGGGAGGCCTGGAATGGCTCTGCCATTCAAACTGTGACTGCCTCCACCTCTGTCTGCTCCACAGGTCTCTGGTTCTCTGGCTGGTTTTCAAGAAGTCTTGCTAAGAGCACTCCCTGCCCTTTCTAAAGGAATGAGGAGCAGACATTTTCCTCTGCTTGGAGGTGAGCACCTGACCTGAAGGTCTGGGAGGTCCATTGAAACAGATGTGCTGTGTTGTGGATGTGGAGCTGCTGCTCCCAAAGCACTGCAGAGCTGTGCAGCCCCAGCTCCCGGCAGGGCCTGGCCCCGGCATGTGGATTTACCAGGTCCCTGCTTGGGGCTGCAGAACTGGGGTGGGTGTGATGTGCCCTTGGATCTCCAAACTGGGCTCTGTGAAGGACAGCAAAACCAGAAATGTCTCTGAGAAGTCCATTTGTCCAGAGCTTGGGTAAATGAGCCCTGGCTACACCTCTCTCCTGGAAACAAGTGTCTAGTACTTCTCTTTGACAGAATTCAGCTGGTCTTACACTTAGGATTAGGAAACAGAAAAATCTATAAGAGTAAATGGCATATTGTAATTTGTTGAGATTTTGAGAGATTAATCATTGTATATACACGTTTCTCACATTGAAAAGCTTATATCAATGTTTAAAACTTTAGCGAAAGAGTTAAAACCTCCTGAAATATCAAAAAACATGTTTGAAATGGTGCGTGTTGATTGACCACCTAATTTTCTCCCATGTATTAATTTCTGGAAATTATTAGATTTTGAATTTCTATTTTTTCTCTGACTAGGTGTTTTTTTTTCAAGAGTGAAAAGTATTCCAATTACAGAGCCCCATGCCACCCCAGTCCTTCAGCTTCTGAACTCACCAAAACCTACACGTGGTGCTCTATGCAGCTGAAGGGATAATGCAGGTACAGCTTTTGTGAGTATCCCTTTAAGAGGGTGGTAATTGCTTCATGGCAGCTTCTGTGGTGTCAGCATTGTCTTCAGTTGGCATGGGAACACAACCAGAACCTCTTGAATGTTTTTCAGAAATAATTGGTTTGAGATGAAAAATCTTGGATTTTCAAACACACTGCATGCTTTCTCTGTTTTTGCCTTCAGAAATGACCAATAGCCTTGAATCTTAAATACTTCCCTGATTAAAGCTTCACGTAAACAGACACGTTGTCTGCAAAATTTTTGGCTCTGACAAAGCAGCATATTTTGATGAGACTTCATTTAATGAAAATGTTCTGACCAGCTCCAGATGCATACTTTAGATATGCATAGATGGGTTCAATTGCCTAGAAAGAACCACCTAGTAGACAGAGAGGGTTTGCCAAAAGCAATTATATTTTATCTCAGTTTGGTTTCACACTATTTGTGACTATTCAAGATCATGCTTTGGTAAAACAAACAGATGTGGTCCAAACTGCGGCAAGAAGCTAAACTGTAAAAGACAAATACATCTATATGTTGTGTTACAGTAAAAATTAATATTGTGCCTCTAGAGAATTCCATCCACATTTGTAGCAAATAAAAAGAGAAAGGATTATAGGATATTATATTCTGAGGAGCAATGTGACCAGTGAGGCAGAACTTGATCCACAATTGCCAAGTTACAACCCGATAATACACCATCAATTCTGAACGATACCGATCGGGGATGGTGCTTCATAATCTAAGCAATTGCTTCAAACAGTTCCACAAAGTTCCAAGATCTACTGTACTGAAGGCAGCAGAAAGATCCATCAGCAGGAGTACTGTAATTTAACTTGAATCAGCAGCTGGTGATAAATCATTTGTGACCTTAAGTAAAGCAATCCTAGGACAGTGGTACTCCCTGGAGCCAGACTGAAAACTCTCATATAATCTATTCCCAGATAAAATTCCTGGTAGTAAAAGGGCAACCACTTGCTTCATCTTTCTTTTCCTCACATCCCAAAAAAGAGTGCTTGTCCAGTTGTCATTAGGTAGAACAGAAATCTGCGGTGTGAGAGAGAGGAAGCTTTCCCTACTAACAAAGAGCAGCTGCAAATTTCAGCAGCTCAGGACTTGCAGAAAGCAAAGAGTCATTAACCATGTTAGCTATAAATGAAGCAAAGCACTGAAAGACTGTCCGCAAGCAGCCATATGGGCCAAGAGTCAAACCCAGGAGTAATGGAGCATGATTGCTTTCCCAACTGTGTGATCTCAGCAAGAAGCAAATACAAATGTATAACACTTGCAGATACAGGCACTGGGAGCATAATTGCCAGCCCTAGTGCTGAACAGTCGCAGCTGATTAGCAATTCACTCTGTACTTGCTGAATTCCTCACAGGAGGCTGCTGAAGGATTGTGCACGAGGAGTGATTTGTGGGGCAAAATGTGATCAATAGCACAAAATGAGGCTTTAGGTCTGTTTTTTCTCATTAATAACAGAACAAGAAAAAGTAGATCTGGCTGCAATGCAATGCAATGCAATGTGCCAAGAGTGCAACAGCTTGGTGCATCAGGAGACTAATTTCTGGACTAAACAGTTACTGAAATAATTCCATGAGCTGCTGCTTTCGCCTTAGTCAAGTTCTGTGATCACAAAAGCAGGTAAAGTAAGCACAGAAAACACAGAATAAATCAGGAGCTTCAGAGACTTATTTGGTTTTTAAATGAAAGGAAACAGCAAAAATTTAAAAATCATGGTTTGCACAAGGCAGATTTTATGCAAGTAATAAAATAAATGTTGGCTCTCTCATTTATCCTGATTATCTTTGAAGACTTTGGTGTATTGCTCAGAACACAGCATAATCCTAGGAGAGGTAAATATGAGACATTTGCAAATTACAGGACAAATTATACATTTTGATCACTATCAAACCTCTACAGAGATCCATACAGGACTAACTAGACCCTGCCTTTAATGCAGGTCATCTTCTAGAAGAATCATTATGATACACTTTTTCTAGCTGGTTATCAAAATATTTGCAGTAGCTCACACTTAGACTAATTGTTGAAGCAAAAAACTGCCCACTTCTCATGATAAATATTGTGGAATCACAGCAAAGAAACAGAGAATAAAAGAAAATACCACAACTCCTTAAGAATCACCAATCTTACACAGACTACATCTCAACTGTAACTTTTAATGATCTGGGCCTGGGACTCCATTAGTGTTTAATAAATAATGATGATTATTCCCTACCTGCACAATGCACACAAAACTCCCATTGATGTTGATGTGAGTTCCTGGCACAGACTGATGGCAGGATACTCCTGTGACAGAGATGAATTTTCCATTAGAACAAAATGAGTAAGACCTGTCTCAGTCAGCAGAATTTTTGGCAACAGCAGAATTCCTCAGGGGCTCAGTGAAAGATGCCCATCCTGGGTGGTTGAAAGTAAATTGGGTGAGAAGCACTGAGCCAGGCTTGGACAGCCACAAAACCAATTTGGGCTGAGGTAAAATTGCCCTGATGTAAAAAATATACTTATAACATGTAATTAGATCCATATTTCATTTGTATAATGTGGAAATCTTTGCTTTCTTTCTTATCACACCACAAGGGAAATTGGTATTTTCTTTTCTATGAAGGCAAAGGATAAAATTAATATTAGGGGAGGAAGAGGATGCAGATGTATTGAACAAAATTTTGAAAACCAGCTTTTATTTAAAGTAAATCAAGGAAAAATTAAATGTTGCTTTGGTAAACCAGAGGAGACCATTACCCACACAGAAATTTGGACCATAAGTCTGACCATTCAGTTGCATTTTCTTTGAAGATTTTGTAAAAAATGCAGAGATGAGGAATTTATTTCAAACTAGCAGTGTATGAGACAGGGAGACAGCTAAGCACAACAGGGACATGGAGACAAAGGTCTTACAGTGTGGTCTTGAGAAAAAGAAATGAGAAAGGGAAGATCTTGGCAAAGGGTTGGTTCAAAAGACCTGGATCTGTAAGTCAAGAAAAAGCCTCTGCTATTTTGGTATTAATTTTGTTGTGGAATAGGCATAGATTTTCTGTAAATAATGACTAGTGCCCAATTTTATTATCAGCTGTTTATCTTGGACATCTGCATATTTTACTTGACCATTTGAGTAAAAAGAAGTAACACTTTCTACCAGTTTCTAAAGTGAACAGTGAAGAAAAAATGGGAAATTGGAAATATAAGAGACCATAAATAACTCAATTGCCTTTTTGAAGGATATTAAATAGTAATAATAATAATAATGATAATAGACTGTTGCTAAGTGAGCAAATATATTTTCAGGAGGAAAAGCATAATTATTAGAACATATGCCTTAGCAAATCAGGTGGAAAGGATTAATCTGGCAAGGGGAATACCTATACTCCAGTCTTTACATTATGCTAATGATTCCAACAACAACAACAAAAAAATCACAGCTTAGAATAGGCAGTTAAAAGAGCACAGGAAACCATCATCTACTTGAGCAAAAAATTAAAACTGAAAATTGTTAAAAGCAGGAAGGTTGGCAATTTTTGTCAGTGATATATTTTTATTTTTATATTTTTGTTGGTGAAATAAATATATCAGAAAGATTTCATGTTTTCTACATTACAGCATTATGTACAGGTAATGCACAACATAGGGTCAGGATTATTGACAGTTCTAATACATATATTATTTTATAAGAATAATTTTTGGATATGTAGAGCTGAGATAGCTGTTTAGTAAGTGTGCATATATAAAATGTAAAACTGACAGTTCATGTCTCATTAAAATGGTGCAAATTAGGTACCCAAAACCTAGACTGTCATTTCAAAGCTCTAGTTCAGATTTTTGTGGGTGCCACTAGAAAGCTGTGCTTTTTATTTAATAATATTTTCAGGTTTTATTGCTCTAAAAAGTGATCCCAGCAATTTGTCTTGCTCTCATTACAGCTCTTACATGGCCTAGTGCAAGGAATGTAAATATTTCTTGAGCTACTTAGTGGTGCAAATGGAAATGTGAAAATATTTATTGCTGAAACAAAAGTACAATCTCTATTGCTTAATTATGATAATCTAGGGAAATTGTTCTTGCATAATTCCATACAAAGTAGTAAGAGAAAAAATAGCTAGCTGTTCTTTTCTATTGCTTGCCCTTAATAGGTCCAGGTAAGATTCTATAAACTTGTATTTTCATGTCAAATTTCTTGCTTAAGCTGTATTTTGGAAAAAGTGTAGTACTTTAAAATGCAATCACTATTGCTTGTGCTGGGAGAAGCACTGCTGAAGTTCTGAGAGACTTACAGATTTTAGTGTAATGTCATTTAAACTAATCTCTGAAATGGTAAGGCTTTCTACTTATGTATTTCTGCTTTTCATTTTTTTTACTTTAGGGTTATAAATCTGTTTTTTAGATACTAGAAAGTTTTGAACAGAACCTAAGTTACCTCTAGTCTTTCTGGCTGTGAAGATATCTTCTTAATAGAAATAATTACTGCAACTAAGTTTATAGGGTATGCAACCTTCGGAGCTGTGGAAGTCATAGTGTTTTGTGTAAATAGGTATAGATTAAGTTTGCTTAATGTGAAATTTTGAAATGTGTGCATTTGATTTCAATTCCAGGTCTGGAACAACCAACTAGAGAAAATAATTATTATGGCCTATAGAATTTGCAAGGTGTTTCACTAGGTTTACCTGGCAGGAGGACAGCCAACTCTAAGGCTTCAAAGGACTTCCTGGGTAAAACAGCTACACTTAAAGCATAGCAAAAACATATGTGGCTTGGTTTTCCATGGTGCTCTGTTCGGTTTTGCCTTGTTGGATATCTTTGCTGTGGCTGGACTACTCTTGAGAGCTCCTGAGAGTCAAACAGAGACTGCTTTGGTGTCCAAACAACACCTGAGCTCCTGCCAGTCCCTGCTGTGGGGACACAGACTTGTGTCTCTGTTCTCCACCTGGCTGTGTTCTTCTGTGATGTTTGGAGGACTTTACATCCTCGATACCTCTAATGTGTAGAGGTGGCTTAAGCAAACAACACAATTCACAGGTACTGAGGGGAGGTGGAACTAAGACATACAAACCAGATAAATGTTATTTCCTTAGAAAGATGGAACACAAATATGGAGGAGCAGCTGGGGCAGCTGGGATTCCTTAGCCTGGAGAAAAGGAAGCTCAGCAGGGACCCTTTCTGTCACTCCCCAACTACCTGAAAGGTGGCCTTAGCAAGGTAAGGTTTGGTCTCCTTTCCCAGGTAACAGAACAAGGGGAAAGGGCTTCAAATTGCACCAGGAGAGATAAATCTCCCTGTTGGATATTGGAATTTTTTTTCACTGAAAGTGTTGTTAAGTACCAAAACAGTCTGCCCAGGGAAGTGGAGGAGACACAGACCCCAGAGACATTTAAAAGACTTGTAGATGTGACATGTAAGGACATGGTTTAATTGTGGGTTTGGCAGTGCTGGGTTAATGGTTGGACTCGATGATCTTAAAGCATTTTTCCAACCGAAATTATTCTGTGATTTTAAAACCAGTTGAATCAAGTACTTTTTCATTTCCAAACAGAAATTCTAAGTATGAGCACCAAAAGGAAAACTAATACTCCCTCTGCCCAGCTTAATCTCTATCCTGATGCTGTATCACAGTCACTTCAAGACAGGTTGAAATTAAGAGAGACCTTTCTCTTGCCCCTGCTGCTTTCCTTGCCTTGGGTCTACAGAGTTTTCTTTTGGAGTTTGTTCCCAGAACAGCCCATAACCACACTGCAGACTAAGAATGAGCTGATGATGGCTTTTTGCTCTACAAGCTATTTTACTTTGTTTAAAAAATGTCTTCTTTTATTTCTGTAATTACTCTGGTGATGGAAGTGAGAGTCTGGGACAAAAATGTGCCAGTTTCAGTGCTGTGTGAACACTGAATGAACACAGAATTCACTGGCTGCAGACAACTGATAGTCCCTCTCCCCAAGTCCTCACCCCCTCCTCCAGAGTGGGCGAGCAGATTTTGGTGAATTTGATGCAAAATACAGCCTAAGTACAGCCTTTCCCCACATCTCTGAGTAGTGCATTTTATCCCGGTGAAAGGTGTGCTGCTTCAATGTGTTGCCACCTGAGGATGATCTCAGGCAGAATTTAGTTCTACCACAGCTCTGTGTATGTGATTTGGATATTATTTGAATGTAAAACTACAGTACTGTACCATTGTTATATTTTTACCTCAAGACAACTAGCGTGGATTCATTACATGAGGTAAAAACCAGAGCTTTTGCAGTGAAGGCAAGTTCAGAGTTGAGTGACCTTTCATGTTTTGTTTGCCCAGAAAGTTTGTATCATCCCAGAACAGTTTTGTTTTCCACCTGATGTGCTATGCTGGAGAAAAGAGAAAGGTAAATCAACTTTGCTCTTGTTTTTGTTCTTTTTTTTTATGCTGAATAAAAGACCTAAGCTCTGTTTTCTGGCCTTTGCTTTTGTTTCACTGACTATTTTTTCACACCTGCTCTGTCATCCAGTCTATCCTTTCTTCTTGCTTCCCTTCTCTCTGGATGATCTCTGTGTCTGCAGTGGCAGCTCCCTGCAGGAGGAGGGAGGCAGACACGGGTCTTGCCCATGGGTCTGCAGCTCTGGGGGTGTGTGGGTGCCTCTGCTGGGGTGCAGGGACAGTGAGAACATTTTGGTCAGTGTCACAGGGTGCAGGTGGGTTTCCTCTGCAAGCAGAGGCCTTGCCTAAAATCATGAGTTAAATGACTTCTCTGAAAGGAAGCACAGTTGCCATCTTTCAATTACACCATCTGATTTCAGACTCATGGCTTGCAATGAAACTATAAATAACATTTACAATTTCTTTTGCTTAATTTGTATTTAAGAAACATATTTATTACATAAACTCTTCTTACTTTCTAGCAGTAATTCTACAGCTATGTTTGCCATAGCAGCTCCCCTGCTACATTACTGCAATTATAATAAATTATTGAAGCAGAAGCCTAAATATGTACCTAGCCTACTCTTTCAATTTTAATTCCAATTTAAATATTTTATATAGTTTTCCTATAGATTCTTCATTGATGGCTAGTAATTGCACCAACACAGAAAATATAGTTTTGTTTTGAAAGATGCTTTTGGAAATTGTACCAGGATTGTTAATTATTCAAGGCAAAGAAACAAGTTGAGACTGTCTGTCTTCACCATGTCAACAGGATAAAAGAGAAACATTGTTTGTATCTAGATGGGTATATTAAGCCCAGTCATAAATTTGGTAGAGCAAGGAGGGAAGAGTTAGAGGCATGCCTGAGACACACTATGAACATCTGGTCTTCAATGCAGAGTTTCCGCAGTTAGAGCTATTTTATTAACTGGTTTAATTTGAAGTAAGAATAGGAACAGAAAAATAATTGCTGCCACCCATACTCTCAGTTCTAACCCCTACCTCTCCTAGTTTTCTAATCAAACCATATTTCTGCATTCCTTTGATATGTCTTGTCGTTTTCTGTAAGAAACTGGACTCGATCATCCTGATGGGTCCCTTCCAACTCAGTAATTTTTAATGATAAATCATAATTTACTAATTGTATGGTGAAGGGCAATGATAGTGATGTACCAGCAGATTATGTAAATCAAAGAGAAGGGGGTTTTTGTTTCAATATGGTATTAGTTTTCTTTTTTTTTTTTTTTTTTGTATTTTTTCATTTTAAGAACCTGTACCTTACCTGCTGTGTAATATATTTCATTAGCAGTTATCCAGCACAGAGGGTCAATTTTCATTGTAAGCTTCAGATAGGAAATGGCAGGTTTCAGCTTACCTCTTTTCTCCAAGCTTCTATTGTTCTATTAGCAGCAAACTCCCAATAAGTTTGAAGAAGAAAAATGATCTTTTTTAAATTGCCCTGTACTAAAGTATATAATTAAGCTTTATATTAAAATAATTAAAACATGTAATGAAGAATGCAATTTTTATGAAGACATGAATTCAGAAAGTTGCCATGAATTTTCTAGATGTAGCCTAATGAATAAAAGTAATAATTTTGCTTAAATACTGTTATCTGTCAGAGGAATAGCACATCTTAATAATGTGAGTTTCTTTTTAATTAGCTAATGTTTTGTGAATAAATTTATGTTGCCCAAATAACAAACATAAGAACTATAACACCTCTCCTCATAGAAAACTGGGCACAAGAGTGAGGCATGTATTGAAGAAAGCATGGCTGTGATAGATCATTATCTGACAACTATTTTAATAACTATTTTAATGACTGGTTACCTAATTGTATACAATTGCATGCAATGAAACTATTTTTAGTTGAACTCTTTGCTAGTATTATAGCTCTTCATTTTACAATGCTTTCTTTACAAAATGCTATGGAAATGATAGGATTCAATTCCCATTCAGAGAATTGGAAACAGCTTTGCAGTTTGGTGAAACTTCAAAACTTTTCTTATTTTTACAAAATAAAGCCACAACTTTTTGAAGATGATAGAGGATATGAGATTGGAGTGCTCCAGTGAGGAACCTGGACTGCAAGGGAACCAGATTCTCTAGCATGGGTCTTTTTAAGGGGACTTAAATTTCTGTGCCTGTTACAAGCACAAGACTATTCTCTTTCCTGTCTCCTGTCTCTGCCTCTCTCACTCTCTAATTTTGATCAAAAATTCTGTCCTGGAGCAAAGAAACCTTTCTCAATGAAAGTTTCATCTGAACTTCAGTGAAAAGTTGCAATTTCAATATGCTGGCATTTTTGGCAGAGTTGACCAGCTCTACCTTTGATTACATATATATAAATTCAAGTATTCCCTGCAGTAAGGAGCTGAGTAATCACATAGTTGTTAGCTATTACTTTATTTTATTATATTTTGATGTATTACTTCCTAATAAATTGGAACTTTTAAGTGATGTATTGCTTAATAAAACTCAAACCTGGAATTCAACACATCTGTGGGAAACCAGGCTATGGGTAAACCTCAAGCTAAAGCTACTTAAGTTTGTGCTATACTGGACCTACCTCATTTTCACACAGAGTGTTATTCCCCATGACTGAGTTGGTGAGTTAAAGAAGAAAAAATTCTGTGACAAAGGCAGCCAGCAATACTCTGATGGCATTCTGCAACTTCTGTTCCTTTCTGTTAGCACTTTGTATACAATCATCCTTTAATGTTCAGTTGCAAAATTGGGTAGTGCATTTTCTGGGAGGATTTTCATGCTCATCCGTCATAAAATTGACCTTAGCAACTGAAGGTGCCCAGTTGTTTGTTTATAGACAGGCCCACAAAGGTATTACAATGCTTAGCTGTGAAAGCTAAACCTCAGCTAGAGTGATATGTAAAAGCCAAGATAAAGTGGTTAATATGACATTAAGAAAAGGCTTTGATGGAATCAAAGGGAAGTGTTTCACCTCATTTGGGTATGTAATTTTGTTGAAATGATGATGACAGAATCAAACTGTATCTTGTTCATTAATACTGTTATTTGTAATAAACCTTTTAATCCTGGGGAATAGCTTTGTAAATTATTTTAATGAAGGGTGTTATGAAAACTAAGCAGATGCTGATCTTTCTCTACATATTGTACATAACCTAGTTCAGAGGATGCTTAGGCCAATACTGCAGGAGGCTCTTTTGAAAATTAGTTGCTCAGAGAGTCAATCTGACTGCAGTCTTGCACCAAAAACATATTTAATACACTCCATTTTTGCTTAACCCTCCTCTTTGTCTTTTATTTTCCCTATAAAATATCAGTCTTTAACAAGTAAATGTCATAGGGAAATCCCATAACATATCTTAAAGATATACTGTACAGTACTTTTAAAAGTACATGCAAATGGAGGCAACATTTTGAAAGAAAGAGCTTTCTCTCTCACTGCACATTTCATTCATCACTACTGTGATTCCAGTGCAAAGACTGGATTTGAAAGAGAGCTACAAGTCTCCTTTATATAAATTAATTTTTTCAGTTCATCAAGAACAGAGTTCACTGTAAAAATAAGTAAACACTTAAGTGGGTTTACATTTCAGTGCTCATAGATGCTAAAAGTCATCCTCAGTTCAATGACCTTTGCTTAATAATTGTATGGCTGTGCAGTTTGCTTAATCTTATATGCATCAGAATAAATTGGAGTATATCCTGCGGCCACAATCATAATAAACATCAGCAGCAAAATTAATTTCTCACAGCTTTCCCTGAAGTACCACTCACCTTTTTCCCCCAGCCCCAAAAAAAGCACTTTCCCATCTCAACCAGTCTTTCCAAACACAGAAGCTTTCAACAGAGAACTCGCTGCCAACTTTGCTGAAAGTTTCCTGGTGCCCCAGTTGCAATGGGTGATAGACCTCCACAGGCTTCCCAGGGAAATGTGATCATTTCTTGCCCAGCCTTGTGTTCTCAGCACCATCCAATTAACGGTGGACCCCGACCAGCAAGGGTATCCAGCAGTGAATATTATTGGGAACCCAACTGAGCTCCTGCTGGTAAGGTTTCCCTGTTTCCCTCTGCACTCTAAATACTCTCATTGTTTATTCATAGAGTGAAAGATTAAAGCCAGAGAGGGCCACTGTGATCATCTAACCTCTAATCAGAAACTTTTCAATTTTTTCAACCTTCACCCTCACTTGCCAACATTAGATGTAGATGCAGAATGCAGTTTACAGTGACCCATTTAGAATTCCACCACACCCCAGTCCTTCTGGGCTTGCTCAGGTATCCTGGTTTCGTGTTCAGTAGTATCTGCAGTGAGTTTTGCAGGACTAGTGTCTGCTCTCCAGTCCAGTTTTGAGCCCTGTCCAGACACACGGTCTCAGCTTTATGTCCGAGGAAAACTCAGCTGTTTAAGAAGCACAGAGGTCCTTGTACCAGAATTCAGAAGCAATGAACTGCATTGAAATTTGTGTAAAATTGTTCAGACTTTTATCTGAAAAATCACAAAGACTGGCATCATGAGTTTTTCAGACAGCCTTTGTTCCCTCTATCCTCCTTTCCTTTTTGTCTGTGTTTTTTTTCTTTTAATTTGTATTTGGGTTTTGTTTTTTTTTTTTCTTTTTGCAATAGGGCAATTGCTCTAACATAGTTTAGAGCAGTCTAGGTTTTCATAGTGATAAGTATCCACAGTAGCTCAAGAGAGAAAGCTTGAAGAGGAAACCCATGAAGAAAATTAAATGGGTCCAAAATGAGCACTCTGCAGACCTCAGGATGGCAAAAAATATTTTTAACTGGCTAATTGCTACTGGAACAATGTGCATTTAACACACATCTGGCACTTTTATGTGAATTGGTTTGTATCTGGATGATTCTGAAATGGGACTGTTGGCAGTCCCTTGTATAGATGTATGTTGAACTGTTATATTGTATGCTTAATTCTGGCAAGTCAAAGCCTGCCCTGCATGATTCCATATATCTATTTAGATAGACAGGAGTTACTGAGTATGGCATCTTAAAAAAAGATACAGAATATTCTTCATGCCTTTTT